CTCTTAGTTTGTGCATTCACTTAGAGTTTAGGTTGCTATCGATTTATTACAAAGCTGCATTGAATAACTACAACGTGATAGAGAGAGGTGGTTCCTAAGCTGTAGGGTTTTTTTTCTCTGCTGGCCCTGATAAGAGGAAAGACATAGTCTATTCCTTTTGAGAGGGGGTAAACAATATCTGATAAAAGTTGAGGTTCAAATTGCATTCCTCTTTCCTCTCCCTTCGTCTGAAACATGGATACTATGGCACTCCACTTCCGGTCTAATACAATTAAATAGCTCCCCTGGCTAAAGTAGTCAGGGCTAGTCAACAATCTAATACCTATTGTTTGGAGAATAAAAATAGCTTGTGCTGTCCCAATGGGAAAAAAAAATCAGGAGATTCCTAAAAGTTATTGGTGAAATGTATTTGTGGGAGGTAGTCATGTAACCTCAGAAGACAACAATAAAAAACTCAGTTGAGAAATTAATGCGTATTTGTCCCTTTCCCCCTTCCATGGTGTGGTCGGTTATAGCAAAATAGCTGCCTCAATGTATCTCATCCCACATGCTCTTTTAATAATGTGACATTGACACTCTTCCCATTGAGTCATGGGGCCTATGTTCCCTCTCCTTGAACTTCAGCTGACCTTTGTGACTGCCTGAACCAACAGAACACAGTGGATGCTGTCCGCTAAGGCTGGGCAACTCCCACACCCATAAGAGGTAATAATAGAGTAGTTCAAATCTGTTAAGTTTTGAGGTTATTCATTATGCAGCAACAAAAACAGGAACATGGTTTTGACTTTTAATCATCTTTACATTTTCTTTGGTATTCAGATATTACAGTAATTTTGTCTGTTCTTGTGGCAAGTCACTTTAAATCCTTTGTGGAAGAGGGTTTAAGTACAATGTAATCAAATTTTTTAAAGTGCTCTTCTGGGGGCACCTGACTGGCTCAGTTGGTTAAGCGTCTGCCTTCGGCTCAGGTCATGATCTCAGGGTCCTGGGATGGAGCCCCGCATCGGGCTCCCTGCTCTGCGGGAAGCCTGCTTCTCCCTCTCCCTCTGCTACTCCCCCTGCTTGTGCTCTTGCTGTCTAAATAACTAAAATCTTTTAAAAAAATAAAGTGCTCTTTTGTCTAACTTGGTGATGTAAACTCCCTGGTGTTATTCTGTAAATGATAAAGATAACCCATGAAAGCTCTATCACCACTTCTAAGGGATTTTTTTTTTAAAGAGATTAGAAGAAATTTAAAAGAGAAAAGATTGCTTTGGGTGGACCTGTTCTACATTTTCTGCTCTTTCTCCCCCAAAACATATCCTTTCCCATGAAACTTTGATGGAAATAATTATGACCTCATCTATGAGGATCAAATGACTAATTCAGTCAACAAACAGTTCTTCAATCGACATTTATTGGCTATTATGTGCTAGATATTAGACCAGGTGCCAAACATACAAAGACCCAGGCCCAGTTTACAAAGGGACTTCTGGGCTCCTGATTACTTATAGTTAATAAAATGCGTATCATATGCAAGGTCATATGTCTGGGCATGTCTGGAAGTCTTTGAATGCCTTCAGTGATGGAGAAGTATTTAAAATAACAACAACAAAATAAAGCAAAACTATCAAATGATCTGGCAGGAAGTTTAAAAAGTGAATGGAAAAAATTGTACAGCAATTTACAGTAGGTTCATACATCTATGAATTTGGTCTAAGAAACAGCTAATTGGGGCACCTGCATGGCTCAGTCAGTTAAGCGGCTGACTCTTCATCTCAGCTCTTGATCTAGGGGTTGTGAGTTCAAGCCCCATGTTGGGCTCCATGCTGGGTGTGGCGCCTCCTTAAAACCAAAACAAAACAAAACAAAAACCCAGAGCTAATTTATTCTCCCCATAATCACAGAAATGAAATAATATTATTATATTAACCTTAAAAATGAAATTACAGTTAATGTAAAAGATCATGAGATACCACGTGATAATACGTTAGTTTTTTTAAAGATGTTACAGTTTCTTAATGTCATTCTTTTTTTTAAAAAAAGATTTTATTTATTTATGTATTTGACAGAGAAAGACACAGTGACACAGGGAACACAAGCAGGGGCAGTGGGAGAGGGAGAAGCAGGCTTCCCGCGGAGCAAGGAGCCCAATGCGGGGCTCCATCCCAGGACCCTGGGACCATGACCTGAGCCGAAGGCAGACGCTTAACGACTGAGCCACACAGGTGCCCCGTCATTCTTAATGACATTCTTAGTCACCATTTTTTCAAGTTTTACTGTAATTAGAATTTTCAAATCCGGTTTCCTAAATTTAATCTCAATCCAAGTAGTGTCACATCCATTAACTTTTCAGGAAAGGGGCATGAAGGCAGGAACCACAGCTATTTACCATTGTGTCTTCATCTGGCACATAGTAGGCACTCATTTAGAATTTGTTGAATTTGTGGGGCACCTGGGTGGTGCAGTCGGTTAAGCCTGGACTCCGGTTTCAGCTCAGGTTGTGATGTCAGGCTCCTGAGATCCAGCCCAGTCACAAGCCCCAAGCTCAGGGTGGAGTCTGCTTCAGACTCACTCCCTTTCCCTCTGCTCCTTTACCCCGCTCTCTCTCTCTCTAAAATAAATAAGTAAATCTAAACAACAACAACAAAACAAAGAATTTGTGGAATTTGTAAACTGGAAACATGTATTTAAGAGAACGGATTAAAGGCAGCAGTTTTCTACAACAGGTGCGTCTGAATACTTGGTACAAACAGAGCCATGTTTGGGTGTTGCAGAGAACTACTAAAAGCAGAAGACACTGTCCTTCTCTACAGCTAGATGCACAGTGATACATGCACTTATAAACCTTTAAAATAAAGTATAAATATTGTAAAATTCACATTAGAAATAAAGAATTTTTGGCGCGTCGCAGCGGCTCGGGCGGTGGGAGGAGCGGCAGCGGCCGGGCAGCCCAGCTTCGCGAAGGCTCCGGGGCGCCCCCGCCCGCTCGCACCCGGCCCCCTACCCGCCCCGCCGCCGCCACGGTGCCCACGAGGAAGGTCAGCTCCGCCGACAGGGCGGCGAAGGAGGAGCCCCAGAGGAGGTGGGCGAGGTTGTCAGCTAAACCTGCTCCTGCAAAAGTGGACACGACGCCAAAAAAAAGGCGGCAGGAAAGGTAGGCTCCAAACTGAGGGAGACCGCGGTGTCTGGGAACTGCTGCAGCGCTACTCGACAGGTGACTTTTTTCCTAATGAAAAGCCATCCCCAGAGACTCTAAGGTCTTGTGACGCTGTCAGTGACTAAGATCGTGACTGTGAAAGTCTCAATCAGATGTCATACTTGCCTGAAACGTAGAAATCTTCTATTTTCCTATTTAAATTTTATATAATAATAATAGCAGCGACCGATTTTTGTTTTCTGGCCTGGGTAAAAAAAAAAAAAAAGATATGGTCATACTGTTTTTTTTTACTGGAATATAACGTGCCACATTCACTGTGCTGGAGAATGTGAAAGACTTAAGAAGACTGAAAATACTAGTAAGTCTAGCTTGCAAAGGAAATGCAGTCTTGCGCTGTGTACATCATGGTTAGTGCTTGCCAGTTCCTTGCATACTTGTGCTTATTACTCTTGACGGTAACCTCAAAGCCAGGGTTGAGGCCAGGAGAAAGGGAATGTGTAGGTTTTTGCTGATAAAAGTTGTCAAGCCAGGGTGCAGGGAATCCTGTGTGCAAGGATACAAGACTTGTGTTCTCTGAGAACATAATGCTGTGTGTTGTGCTGTGTTTTGCAACTATATATAAAGGAGTAATATCCTTTTACCCTAAGAAACTCTGAATTAACCCTAAACTACGTTAGAATTGTTTCCCTGGAATAGATTCATGATTGCATTGTTCAAGTTGAAGGTTACCGGAATGAAGCTGTTCTTGAATCTATGCAATGTTTGAAAACTTAAGTTGGGAAAGCAAAGTATATGTAAATCATTATAACTTTGATTTAGGGTGTAGCATTGAAACCACCCTCTGCAAAGCTGTCACCGTCTTCAGGGGAAATTCACGGTATGATTAATTTCTGAGCACTCAAAACTTAAGTGAGAGTTTGGTGTTAGACCCCTTTTCTAAAAGTATAGGTGGAAGCTTGGCACTGCATAATCAATTCTTTATTTAAATGTTGTACAGAAATGAATGTAAAAGTCTCAAACTTTTTTTCAGTAGAAAGTTCTACTTAAGTATTCCAAGAAGGTATAAGCATAGTAATGTTAACTTAGTATTTCTCACAACAGAAGATAAAACAACTCTGTATAAAAAGTTAAAACAGGAACAGGAAGGCCAAAAAAATAGTTTATCTTGTTGCATAATGATGTAGCGAGGTACTAATATTACCCATCTTTGATTGTTTTTTTTTTTGTTTTTTTTATAAACCAATTGGCTGAACACTAAAAAAAAAAAAAAAGAATTTTCAAACTATTTATTACTATTGAACTCTGAACTGTATGCACCAAATACAAGAAAAGCCAGCACATATATGATTTTTACAAGCTCTTAGGGGACAGGAGAAAATGATAGTATGCATTTCATAACCTTTCTGAAAATAACTTTTAACTACAGAAATGAAAAGTTTACAGTGCACAAAGTCACATTTCCGGTTACAGAGTCAGTGGTGTATGGATAGTGAAAAAACATATCCAGGCTTTTCCACCTAAAACAGATATAAATAAGGGGACATATAAAAGTAAAAACTAATTTATATGCTTGAGGGAAAAAAAGTCAAGACTTCTATTCATTGCTTTAGAAATTATGTGTAGAGAAAATAATTTTAAATGAAGCAAATACTGTATTTTATATTTTAAACCATTAAAATAGGATGACATCTGAAGACCCCATCCAAATCTCAGATTAAGTGATTCTATGAACTAAATAAATACAGAAAGGTGAGGACAGATGAAGAGAGTGAAAAAAGGGAAAAGTAAAAAGGAGCTATAAAGAAACACCCTTCCACAGACACATGAACTAACAGAGCGCAGACAGGCACCCGGAAGGGGAAGACACACTTAGTCAGATCTTGGCTTCCCCTATGTGGAAGGCTCCCTCCCCAGAATTGTTCTGTAATGTTTTCTAGTATTTGTGTCTGAACGTCTGCTAGCCTCTTAGTGTACTTCTAAAGACTTTTTAAGTTTTGATGTTTCCCTAACTAGACTGAATTGATTTGAGAATCAGTTGTCACATCCTTCTTCATTGCTTGAGTTGAATTAAAATTTTGGTTAATAAAAAACTTCCAATTTTATACTTCCTCTTCTGAATCTTGATCATACATTTCCTGAGGCTGTCTCTTAATATTGATTACCAAATCAATGGTTAAAATTTTTGTTAAACACTGAAGAACTGAAGTTAGTAACTGGTATTTACCAGCTACTGATTCCAAACCTGTCTGACTGCTCACCATGGGTTGATTGGTTTGCAGTGCATGGAGCGTTCTTACATATATTTGTGGAAAGCTGTACTTTCCCTTCTTAGACTTATACAGGATTTTGGGAATGCCTAAAAGAGCATTAGCTATTATCATGCTAACTATGGTTCCTTCTGATTGCTGACATTTTCTGGCATGGTTAAGAAGATAGTAATGTAACAGGATCTCAAAATTACCACCCACTGGCAAAACACAACCTGCTGGTAGAGTGGAGCAGCAGTAACTCTGGGAAGTACACATCTCCAGGGACTTCTCTCTTACTGGCAACATGCTTCCCTTTCTAGCAATTTTTGTGACTTGTAAATTTTCGTAAGAAATTTCTATTCCAGTGTTTTCTGCTATTGAATTAGCAGAATTACTCTCTACAAATGGTTCACTGTCATCAATTATCCTGGTCTTGGTTGGAGGTAAACATCTCAGTGTTTCATCTGTCTGGTATGTATCTGTTGGTGTCACTTTTGGTGTTGAGTATGGAATATCGGTTTCTAATTCTACACTTGGAACTACCAAATTTGAATACACTTTTAAATATGTTTGAGTTTTTGCCAGTTTACCTTTGTTCTTTACAACTGTGCCCTGATATGGCCTTTGTATTAAGCCATTAACAATTTCTGGCAATGGATTACTTTCTCTGCTAGTCTTATAAGTAGGAGGACTTGATGTATGATTTTGATCACTGGTTCGTATCATGTAATTTAGATCAAGATCTTTAAATAACTGTCGAAGCATTTTAAATGCTCCATGTAAAGCATCTTCATGTTGTTCAACAAGACCCTGCACTGGTCCACAAAGAACTATACAGTGTGGTATAAATGAACATGTGCTAATCAAGCCAAGATGAACATACCTTTTGGATCTCAAGATAAGGGGCTTACAAAATTTCACCAAAGCAGTGTTACAGATTTCATACTGTGAAGAGGCCTGTGCTAGTACAAAGGGAGAAAGACCGATGATCCTCTGGATAAGAGAAACTTCTTCAGGTGATAAACACTCTACCACTGATATGCCATTCAGTCCTGCATAATAAATAACTAAGTCCGGTTGTTTCACACTAGACAGGAGCAATTTTACATTCTGACTCTGTAAATGTTTCATTATTGCTTTTGTCTTTTCCATAATCCAAAACTGAGAGGTGTGAAACTGTGCTTCTGAATTTAGAATAAACTCTGATCCAGAAGTTGAAAAAAGAGGCTGAATGGTTTCTGTTACTATCACTATTCTTATGTCACCATCTGCTGGACAGTATACAGAAAAGTCTCTGTGAAGCACAAGCCCAGCTATGATCCTGGAATCTGAGACAGGAAGGCCAGTGACACCAACATTCAACTCTACAAAATAGTCATCCACTAAGTCAAATACTTCTTCAAACCCACTTTCACAAGCCATACTCTTGAAAAAGTAGTTACACATCAGTTGTGAAATAAAGCTGTGATTATTTCTCCCCACTCTTCCACAAAAGTATGCTTCTAAGAGCAGCTCTAAAGAGCTCCTGCACAGTGTTCTCTCTTTAGTGGATGAAGAAAAGATGGACAAAAAGTGTTTACTTAAGTAGTGGTCCATAATATAATCTAATATTTGTGTCTGAAACGTTAGAAGAGCTTGAGAAATAAATTTCCACTGACAACAATTTTTCCAATGCCTTCTATGGGTTTGAATATTTTTGGAAATCAAAGAATCCTGTTCTTTGTCTGTGATTGTATGAAGTCCTCTGAGTAAATGACAAAGAAAGATAATAAATGTTTTAGCACCATCTCCTGTTTTTCTTAGATGACTGGAAACACAGGCCACCACCATCCTGTACAAAAAAAGAAATAAAGCAACTCAGATTTTCAGAAGACTGCCTTCACACATGTAAATCAAGTTGAAACCATGGCTTCACAACCAAAGTCATAAAAGACTTTTATGACTGATGTTTTTAGTTTTAGTTTTTACAAAGTTTTACTTCAAGATTCTGGGGTTGGGTGGAGCGAGGAGTAGGGAAATAAATGTTCTTGGGTGTTTGGTAAGATTTGATTTCCAAAAGAACATTCCACTGGACGGCGCTCGAATCCTACGCATACTGGTTTCGTCCAAGGTGAGTCTTCCCAGGAGCACAGGGTAAGGGTTCAGGGAGATGGCCTGGGGTGCCCGGCTCTGGGTAGGAGAGTGGGACAATAGTACCTGGCCATGGGACGCCGGTACCTGGCTATGGGATGCTCTAAGTGTAGCGCCTCCAGGAGGCAGCCTCCATCCCGGCTGACCAGCACCTCCCCGGTGGGCTTCGTACACAGAACTTGCCGCCCCTCGGGCCCCACGCAGCAGCTCACGATGGTCTCCAGCACTTCCGCCACCTGCAACGCCACCTTCGCAGACCCCACGGCGGCCATAGCATGTAAAGTTCGAGGGTCTTCGGCCACGGGCGGCCGAGCACCAGCACGGCCAGGAAGGAGTGAGGCGAAGCGGCCGGAAGCGGAAGGGGCGGGGAGGAGGCCGCGCGCCGGGGCAGAGGGGCCTCATTCCCCACCGCCCACTAACGGGGTAGCCCGCTACCCTGCCACCTGGGACTGGCGTTCCGGTAGTCCGCGAAGCTGGGAAAGAGGTCAGGACTTCTCAGGATCTGTTCCTGTACCGGAAACTGCCAGCCCTTCCCCAGCTCCCTGGGTGAATTTATTCCCAGCAGTGGCTTCCGCTGCCACCAAATCTGTCTCCCAGGAAACGTCCTTCCTCTAGAGAAGTCCGCACGCTTAGGGAAGCCTATGCATAGGAGGGAATGGGTCCCGCGGGTGGAACCGGGTTCGTGCCCCACCTCTGACAAAACCTCTGCGTTGGACTCAGGAGTATTCTGTCCACAGCATCATCAGTTGCTCTAACCATCACAAAAACAGCTTCGGGATGCAGGACAGCGGCAAGCTTTATGCTTTCCGCAAGAGACTTCGCCACATTTCCCGGGCACGGATATTACTATGAAACCCCCAGCCACCACAGTTTACTTTTTCTTTAGCAGAGGGGACAGATGTGAAAACTTAGCTACATTGGCGATCACTAGTATGTTTTAAAAACAGTGGCCTAAGATTGTTGGATACAAGTGCATAAGAAAACAAAAAACATACTGTTTCATATATTAAAACACATTTTCTCTCAAGGATGAAATGGTTCACAGTACGGGCTTAAGATTTAGACCTCGGTTTCCTCTGACACTTGTGACATTAAGTAAACTCTTTCATCTCCACTTTTCTTACCTTAAAAAATGGAGATAATATATAAAGGGAAAATCTCAAGGTTTTGCAGAGTGAGAATGTTTGCAAAGAACTTTTTTTGCATGGTGCCTGGCATATATACTAAGCACTCAACAGTCAAATATTTACAGCACACCCCCCAAATTACTGTGATATTCACTAGTGTATTGGACCCACTCTCTCTACAAGAAAAGGATTATTTTGTAAAAGTGCAGAAGAGCCAATTAGGATGATAGCACAACACGGGACACCTATGAGAGTGCAGTCAATATTAGCTAAGAAAAATACTTACCTTTGTAGATTTGTCATTGAGGTTCGACAGTGAGGGGCTGTTCTCCTTACCTTATTCCTAGGCATAGGACAGGGGAAACCTGTAAGCCCTCCTTTCCTTCCCTCCACCCAATTAATAAGACAGAACCAACGGACTATTAGGCAGAAGCAAGTAGACCCTGAGGACAGAGCAAGAATGGAAGAGGAGGAGGATGAAGGAAAAGAGGAAAACCAGACAGGAATGATTTGAAACTCACCTGATGTTGACTCAGTATGGACTAAGTGATTTGAGAGAAAAACCTTTTTATATAGGTTCTGTATATATAATTGTTTAATAATAAGTTTTTTTCTGGTTCCACCCATCACAAAACAGTGGTGGATATAGCTATGGTATACCAATTGGAGCAGTGGATTACTCCAAACTTTTAAAAAGTAAAGTGCTACCATCAGGGTTTACCATTTAAGTGTACCGTGGAAGGAGAATGGACATGGAAGTCAGACATGGATTTAAACTTGTGCTTGCCATCACTCTTACTGCATAGCTTCTGGAATCATTTAACTTCTCTAAGTCTCAGATTCTTTATTTATAAAGGTGGGTTAACTTCCACTTACCGTAAGGCTATGATGAGTATTTAAGAAGAATGAATATAAAGCACCAAGGAAAGCATACATTAGGGTTTCTAACTATTAAATCCTTCCCAGCCCTTCACCATCCTTCACAACTACCCCTACCAAAAAGATTTTTTTTTTAATTTAAACACTAGGATGAAGTTAGTCAGCATATGTTATATTCAAAGTCATTTGATCACAGTTTGCTCTTTTTAAGAATTTTATTCAGAATGCCTACCTGTAGAAGTTAGCATAATTTTACAGATTAGAAAAATTCGATTCTTTTGTCTCTGCAAACATTTATAGTAGGTTAGGAATAATAGATTAGAAATGTAATACATTACAAAACAGTTGCCTATGACTATCTGTACATCTACTATGCACCTTAGAGAAAGGATTTGACAGTGTGCTGTACTTACACTGCAGATAACATACTTTTATTCTATTATACAAAACTGACCAGTGGTAGTGTCTGAATTTATAAATGGCCATTCAACAGGGTATTTAACTTAGATGTATATTTAGCATGCTAAAAAGTGAAAAAATTTTCAACTGAAGTTCTGTGGCTCAAATGTTTCATGGCATATTTTTAAATAAATTTCAAAATATTGTAATACTAAAATAATTTTACATGAAAAATGCAAAAAGATAAAATTTTCTAAACATTTTAGAAAGTATATTCACATTCATTTTGTCATGGGTTTCTTGTGTTTCTTCTAAATATGTTAATCATATTAAAGAGACACTGGTCCTATACAATTTTAACAGTCCATCTTCAATTAAAAACTGTAACAAAACAAACAGTATGTTAAAGAGTAACAAAAAGTAACTTAAATATACCAAATTCACACACTGTATGTAAACAAAATGAAACCAAATTACATAATAGTGGCAGGTTATACATTTTAAAGAATTTCTTTATCCATGTAGTCAAATGAGATAGAAGTTAAAATGTAAACTTAAGTGATTTGTACGGTGTTACCCCTTATTGGTTCAAATTGGAAAATTTGGTATAAATGCTAATATTAGTATTTTATTTCTGTACATTTAACATAATTCAAAATAATCTACAGCATCATGTATGGCTCATCGATATTGCCATCATGTGTATCAAACAAAAAAACCCAAAAATATATTCATTACTCATTAGAAATGCTAAACACTGGAAAAAATGAAATTTTATACATTTGTTTTCTTAAATATTTGACTAAGATATTCTTCAAAAAGTTAAAACTGCCTTCTACAGAATTTTATGTGTGTATGGCACAAGTTGACATCCAAAACAGTGTGAATTCCATCAAAAAGGCACTGTTTACAATACTCAGAATAATCTGACTAGTCTACTTCAATGATGTCTGAGAGTGAATATATTTGATATAGTTAAATAGACAAACCCTTATAAAAGTACAGCATTACTGTTTAAATATACTATAGCTATATAAAAGGAAATAAAATGACATAGAGAAATGACCCTTTATGACAAGCCTATAAACACTTTGAATCATATTGGAGAGTCCTGTAACACAAAAATAACAAAAAGTATTTTCTTAAAGGCACAAAAGCATGAATACTAAATGAGTGTTGTATTTTACAAGGCCAACTTTTTCAATGGAATGGTGACAAAGATTACACTGTACCTTTATAAGTGATACAAAAGAGTACTAACATGAAATACAAGTAAAATATCTATTGCTGAAACTTACTTGTTTCACATGCCCTATTTATTATCTATTCCTGGGCCAGCTACATCTCACTAAATGGTGGATAATTGAAGGCGTAGTACATTTAATAACTAAAACAAATGCACATGTCAATAATTATTACTCATCTAAAGTTTTGTGTGAAAAAATAAAATTTTTGATCAAATGAAAAACAGTGGTCATAAGATCTTAAATCCTAGAAACTATCATGAGGTTCTCAGACAACTGGGAACTGTAATCACAATTTTTATGAATCCATGTTTGAAGGAATATTAATCTCAGGTAGAGAACATTCAAAGTCAATTACATATATGGCTACATACAAAGTTAATTATGTGTTTTAAAGGGTTCATATACTAAGCCTAGTATAAACACTGATCTAAAACTAAGCCATCAATTCCTGAGTTTTGTGTTCAGTTCACAGAAAGGAACTCATACAACTAAAAGCATAAGAAGACTATCAGATTAGATATATGCTTTCAGTGTATAAGAAACAGTCATGAGTAACCCTGCTCTTTTTCATGAAATAGTTTTTAACTCGAGTAAAGAACGCAAAACATCTGCCTTAAAAAAGAAAATATTACCTTTCCAGTCTTGGAAGATACCTATACAAGTAAAACACTATTTAGACCAAATGAAAATAACACACAAGTGGTCTTAGTAAGACTAAAACCCCCAATGGGGGTTTACCAACAAAAAATTTTAAGTTTTCAGGGCTTAATGATGAAATGATTTTTGTGATCAGCCAATCAATTTATATGATATAAATACTAATTTAAACCATAAAGAGGATCAAATTGTACAATATTTACAAAGTATCATCTATTAATGAATAGGCAGTTGAGCATAAAGCATTGGTAACAAAGTGAGGACAAAAATTATGTTGACAAGTATGAAATGCAAACAAACAGATCCCACCTGTTCTGTGTAGTCATTATTACACCTACACTTACAGCAGGTATAGGTATATCTTACTTATATTTCAGTCAATAGAAAAATGTTTGCACATGTACATATGGAATACAGCATTATTTTGCCAAAACTACATGGGAAATGGCTCTTCTTAAAACCTAAGGCTACTTAAGATAGCTATATTAGGGGGGAAAAAAGCAGGCTCTTTTTCATCACTTTCAATTTTTGTAATTTAGCAATCATTCCTTGATTTGATATTTATCATGGCATAAACAACTGATTGTAACCTTGCTGGTGTCTCACAGTCTCTTCTTAATCAAAGGCAAATGTAGCCAGAATAGTTATTCTGACTTTTATTTTCATTAATAGCTATTTTGAAATCTACACTTTCAGGATTCTGAGATATATCTTAGGACAACAGCTTAACTACATTTGCAAAAATTGCTTCTGAGGACTATAAATATTTATGACAAAAAGTAAAAATATTAACCCCCCAAAAAATTAGGAAAAAGTTTGCCTGAGACTGAACAAAAAAAATCTTGACGAATTATGATTTTATCACAGAATGAAGTTGCTAAGAACAGAGGAGAATAAGGAATTGAACTTCAGAACTTGATTCTCTTCTTAAATGCTCAACTTATTGCACATTTTAAAGAAACCAATTTTAATGTA